CCGCGGGTTGCCGAGCTGTCCGCTGCTGCGTCCGCTTTGGGTTGTGGGGGGGGGGGGGGGGGGGGGCGGGAGGGGGGCTGGGGGCGAGAGAGGGGGCGCGAGGGGGAGAGAGAGAGAGAAGAAGAGAAATAGGGGGAGAGAGAGAGAGGGAAGGAGAGAGAGAGGAAAAGAGAAAGAGAGAAAGGGGGAGAGAGAGAGAGAGAGAAGGGGAAAGAGAGAGAGAAGGGGGGGAGAGGGGGAGAGAGAGAGAAAGAAAGATAGATAGATATGGAGGTGTGGGGAGGAGAGAGATTGAGAGATGGAGAGAGAAGCCCAGGCAGTGAAGCCCCACTGTGCCTGCCTTGGGAAGCCTGGGCCAGAGGTCCTGCAGAGACAACTCCCCCCCCACCACCCTGCTAATCTCAGGCCAGCTCCAAGCAGCCCGCAAGAGGGAGGGAGGGAGGGAAGAAGCAAGGCCAGGAATCCTGGCTGCTCCTTGGGATGCACCCTGGGAGAAGAGCCATCCCCTGCCTCCCCTCTCTTGGGACACGAGGGTGGGGCCATGTCAGACCTACTTTCTGGTCACAGGCTGTTACCAGAAAAACGTGAGGGGGATTGAAGGGAGGGGAAGGAGAAGAAGGGAGAGGGAAGGGAGTATATGGGGGTGTTACCACCTCAGATACTCAGAATCCCAAAGAGGAGGTTCCCCGGAGCCTGGCCCTGGCCCTGCCCCCGGGGAGCACTCAGCTCAGCGCTGCACCCCCTCCCCAACAGCCCCGGAGCTGTGAGGAGGGTGGGTCGAGGGGAAGAGAAGAAGAGAGGGCACCCCAAGCTGCCCATGCCCAGCCGTGGAGGGAAGGCAGGGCAGGGAGGGTGAGGGAGAAGACAGAAGCAGGAGGGAGACTGGAGGCTGAGGCTGGCCAGCAGAAGGGGAGGCACTGGGAACAAAAGCTCACCTGAGGATTTGTTCCGCATCAGCCGGACCTCCCGCGCTTGCACTCCGTGGGACTGCAGCTGGCCCCGGATCTGTACGGGGAGATACGGATTGGGGCGGGCTCAGCACACGGGGGGCCCCTGAGGGGCTGCCCGTGAGTGATGTGCATGCACTGCCTCCCCTCGCTCTCTCGGGGCTCTTCCCCGAGGTGCCGTGGCCCCGGCCCCATACCAGTACCCGGTCTCGGCGCTCGGCCCCAGACTTGCAGAGAATGAGGGAAACGAAGGGGCATGGGGCATGGTACATGGTACGAGGTGGGGCACGGCAGCACGGAAGACCCTCAGAGGCGAGAGCAACGAGAGAGCAAGCCAAGCGGAGCCCGCAGCTCAAGAATGGCCCAAGGGGCTGGTCTGATAACAGGCTTGGTGCAGCCGTGGGGAGGACGCAGCTCTGGGACCGCCCTCCGGCTCACACCGAGACACCCAGGAAGCAAATACCAAAATGGGAGGGACTGGGTCTGGGCAGAGCCCAGCCACGCGCCCTAGGCCGTGGGCAGATCGGTACACTGGGCAGAGACAAAAAGGTGTGCTCACAGGGTGTGCAAAGCTTCCTGGATGAAGCCAGAGGGAAGCTGTAGAGGCAGTTTGGGGTTTGGGCCAGGTGAGGCAGGGTCTCTAGGCCAGTGGTGCCTCTCGCAGAAGCCTGGGAGCACGTGCCAGGCATTCTCGGGTGGCAATCTTACTACCTCTGGGCCTCAGTTTCCTCATCAGGTGAAAAAGAAAGAAGCGCTCTCACTCTCGCGTGCACTCTGTCTCTGTCTCTGTCTCTGTCTCTCTCTCTCTCTCTCT